AACTATGAAATGCATGAATAAAATTTCAAAAATCGATAATATATTTTCAATATATTAATATTAATTACCGGCGATTTTATTGCATTCAATATGAAGTCAATATCAGTAAAATAGTGTCTTTCAGAATAGTATGCAAAACTATCTAGGTCGTATTGTACCCCTTGGCTAAAATTTACATAATATTGCATTATTATGTTATCTCAAATTCACTGAATCACTATAAATAATTTTAAGTATCAATTATTTTAATTAATCAGTTATTAATTTATATTAAATTCAGAAAAATCTTCCACAAAATCTATAATTTTTTCGGTTTCTTCGCGATAAGACTCACTATCGGTGAAACCCGACGGTATGGCTGACTGGGGTTTAGATAGATTATCATTATTAGATACCATTGATTTTATAGTCAAATGTGTTTCTGAATGTCTCACAAATAATTCATATCAAATTTAATTTCCTGTCACTCATGTCTTCACTCATAGCGATATCTATTATTTCATTTGTGTCTACATTTGTTGAAAATTCTAGATTTTCACGCATTTAATTGTCTTAATAGCTTTTTCTTTGGAGGTATATTAAATAAATGTGACAAATTAAATCAAACTAATTGTCGTCAAAAATATTTAAAATTTTCAAAATAATAATTGTAAAAGTATTCTAACAACAATATTTAAAAATGTGAAATTATTAATGGATTGTGGTTAACGCATAGCATCGCATTTGATCTTGTTTAAAATACTTAAATATTTTTGATCGTTTTCAATGAAATTGGAAATTGAGCTAAAATCAAATACAATCTAGATAATATTGTATTCATATTGACTTTACTCATATTTTCTTTCTATTGCATACAATAAAATCCCGATAATTCCATAATTAATTAATTGTTTAACAAAATAGACATATCTATCATAATATATAACTTTTAAAGAATGAGTTAAATTTATTTGAAAGATATTATATTTTGAATACTTATTACTTAATTTACAATTACAAATTTGATGTAATTATTAAAAATTGCTATTAAAACTCAATAATTTTAAATTAAAATTTATTTTAAACAAATTATTTATTTTAGACATTTTTGTGTAATAAATAAACAATTACAGAATATAATATACATAAATTGTATATTGTATGTAAATTAAAATCTAAATGTAATTTAAAGGTAAAAGTTTTTTCTAATTTAAATATTGATTTATGAATGAAGGAAAACAATATTTGAATTCTCAATAAGATTTGCTTTTTGTTGATTTAATGCATAAATACATTTATTTTGATTTAATTTTATATGTAAACGATTTTTACGCTTAAGAAGAGCTTCCAAACATTGGGATTGTCCTAAGAATTGGGATTTAAACAATTTGTTAGTTTTGAATTCAAAGTCAATATGTATTTTGTACGAACAGTGGGTTTAGTCATAGGAAATAACGTTAGAAATTACACTTGAAAATTCATGTAATGCTAAGAATCGGATATAAGAGTCGGGTATAAGAGTCGGGTATAAGAGTCGGGTATAAGAGTTGGGTATAAGAGTCGGGTATAAGAGTCGGGTATAAGAGTCGGGTATACGAGTCGGGTATGCCTGAAGAGCACATTTCCGTCTTAATAAATATTTTATGTGAAAATTTTAATAATGAAAACATTAATTGTATGACTAAATGGTAAAGATTATTGAATGAGTTTTAACGTTATTTTCAATTACTAAGCCCACTATGTTTGTACAAAATACATAAATATAATTACCATAATATCCTATATTGTTATTATTATTATCGCGTGAATTATGGTTTGTATGAGAATTATGGGACATATTAAAGGAATTGTTGGAAATAAATGTAGAATTGTTTGGATTCTCACAATTATTGCTATTTATTTGTGAGTTATAATGAGTTATTTTTCGTCTCTTTTTATCGATAGTTTGAGAATCGAGTTCTTTGGGTTTGTAAGTGAAAGGACGCGCTTCACTGTACTCTCCATCTCGCGGTCGGAATAACTGAAGGAATACCTGAACCGAACATTTTATTTCAGTGTCTCTATAAGGGGGCGTCCGGAACACAATCGCCACCTAAACCAACGATTAAACTTTTATTAATTAATATAATTTTAATTTAACATATCATTAATACAAAACCTGATGGTGAACATCCGCTTCAGTACTAATCAACATAAAAATATTATCAATAAGTTTTAACATTATAATACTTTTTCAAAGACTCACAAATTAGCAAAGCTTTCCCAAAGTTGATGTCCATCGTTATCGGTCTCAAAAAATCGGATTTTTATCTCTTTTTTATTAACTTTTTCGCACAATAGAAACACTTCTTCGTCTCCTATTTGTTTAATTAATAGATTATTTTCTTTAATCATAATATTAAAAATTGATTTCATGTTTCATTTGTCTCATTCTTCCAGTCTATGTGCAATCCGTTCTGCCATTAAAGGTATTATGGTAAAACATCTGAACAAATTCTAATATTTGCAGTGATGTTAATTCTATGGGATTCTGTGATGCGGCATCACTGATGCTAATGTCCGTGAAAATTTATATCGACATTTGCACAAGTAATCAGATTTAGCAATTACATCAAGTTAGTTCATGTGCCCTAATCTACCAGAATATCGGAATTCAATTAAATACTGGCCGCTTAATGTTATCAAGCTCGCTTGTTTGCTCGTAAATAAGTGTAATCTTAAGTCTTATGTCACTTTATTTCAAACAGATATTTGCAATAGTGTTTGTAAAGCTATTTAATTATAATATAAGTAACTATACTATAACATAAAATTAATTTATAAAATCTTTTGTGGCTTTTTGTGCATAATACAACGCAATCTTTTTATGGGTGGAGTTTATGAACATATTATAGATTATTATAAAATAATCACAAATTATTGTTAATAAAAGGGACATTCAGTTATTGTATTCAAATAAGTGCAAGTTTTGCTTAAATGGATATTATTATAATTATTCTAATATTTATATTTCGTTTAACACATAATTGATAGACAGACCTGTTGCCGGTCCACTGTATTTATCCATTCTTACAATTTTTAATTCTCCAGAATCGGGAGATTCTATTTAAAGTATATATAACTTTATATATTATTTTTTAAAATATACATTTTATGGAAATAATTATAATGTAATAAAATATACTTTGATTGGCGACCGGACGTGAGAATATAGGACTACAGATACCATAACTCATATCATTTTCGTACACAAAAGCTTCAAAACAAATTCTAACAGAATTTAAATTCATATCCTTTGCATCTCTTTCTGATTCTTCTCGAACGCGTTGTTTATCGATATCTATTAATACAACCATTTATTGTAATATTCATACAAATAACATTGAGTAACAATTTTATGTTAGAAATTGTTGCTTTATATTATTAGAAACAAAAGAATGACGAGAAGAAAGTGAGTGAGTGAGTGAGTGAGTGAGTGAGTGA